TTTTCCTCCTTCTGACCCCTAGTAGAAAACTCTGTCCCAGTACTTCTCCCAGGCTGAATTAAGCCTGGCCTCTGTTTTGCACTAGGAAATCGGGTCGGGGTAGGGGAGTAGACTGCCCTGAAATGAGGCAGGCTGGGGAAAAGGCCCTTTGGCAGCTGACCCTAGAGTGAGTCCCCTTCCTGTGGGCTAGATGAGGATTTGCTTCCCCTTCTGCTGGCTCTGCTGCCACAGCCACTGGAAAATGATGTCACCCCTCTTCTCCACCCCCATGATGTGGCCCTCCCTTGTCTCTACCCCCAGGGATGGAACAGAAGAGCCTAGACAAAGGTGCCCCACCCTCTTTAGGAGCCACAAACCTGTCTGCCATCTGGCCCCCTTTGGGAAGACTTAGGGTCTTAGAGTGCTTAGATGCTTAGGGCTCAGAAACAGTCATGGTTGAACCCAGAACTTGCCATCGAGGGGCTTGTGGGTAGCCATTCAAATCCCAAATGAGGACAGGCACTGCCTTGGGAGAGGCCGAGTGGGGCTTGATTCTGGGAAAAGGTTGTTTTCTTATCAGAGAGTTATAGCAGATGCCATTAGCTGCGAGCACCTGTGCCTTCGGAAAATAAATGTCACCGCTGCTCCTCACCATCACTCTGGAGGCCTGACCTCTGGGATCCCACCAGTCCCTGGTTGCCGGATGAGGCTAAGGGCCTGCTCAATTCATCGGACCAACGCCTGGTATTGAGCAGCCTGCTCCCCCCACCCCCACCCCATGCACACACTGGATATAGCAGCCGATGGGACATCTGCGCCCCAGGGCAGTGTCCTGCCTTCCACCCTCCAGCCACCCCAGCTCTTGCTCTCCTCCCATTCACCGCTGGGGCAGAACCTTGTAGGGATGAGGATCCAGGCCTAGAGGAACTCACTGACTCAAGCAGGGAGCCCTAAAGCAGCCAGAGACAACAGAGCCCACTGGGCGGCCCTCAGGTGTTGCCAATGACTGCTCCGGGGAAGGAGAAGCTGCCTTTCCCCTCATCTCTCTGCCAGGCCGTGGAGTCCCTGCATGCCCATTTTGGAGCTGGGCAGCCCAGGAATAGGGAAGGGGATGCCATCCTGCTTCCTCGAGAGGCCTCTGCACAGCGGGCTGGGGGCTTCTCGTGAGATCAGGCCTGGATACCCAACCTCCCTGCTTTGGGTCCTTAGAAAAAAGGGTAAGGTGCCCCCTGGGCAAACGCCATCTCTGGGCCCTGGAGAGGAGTTCATCTCCACTGCAGATGGGTAGAGAAGAGTTGACGTCCTCCCTCGGGCCCTGGGGCAGGTGTCGACACCTGGGTTCCATTCTTGCTGCAAAGCTATGAGGCTGGGGCAAGGTTCCCTTTCCATTCATCGGCCTCAGTTTTACCTTCTGGATAGAGAGAAGGGTCCTCATCCCTTTTCCAGTCCCATTGCTGACTCAGATGCCAGAGTCCCCTGCTGACTCGTCCCACCCCCGGTACCCCCCCCACCCCAAGCAACTCTCTGGATCTCCCAGACACGTGCCACCACGCCCAACCCTGCCAAGCTGGTGCAACGTGACAGGGTGAGGGGGCTGGTGACACTTGAGGAAAGAAGGGGGCCTGGGGGGGGCCGCTGTAGACACAGTGACAGACTGCAGACTGGGGCGCCGTTGGGAGAAAGCCCTTTTGCCAGCCTGAGGCCTGCAGGAGGAGAGGCTCAGCAGGTGGGAGGGGAGGGGGTGTGTGGAGTGCCTGCCTGCCCCCTGCCTGCCTCGCTCCATCTCCTGTCAGCCTTCAGCTCTCTCAGCGACAGCTTCTAATTCTGGCTGCCGGTGCCTCTGTGCTTTGCAGCGAAGTCTCAGCTTTTTTCAGCTCTGCTATTTCTTTTCTGTTCAGAACATACTGAGCCCACAGGCAAGTCAGAGCAAAGGCGCCAGGGCCTGAGACCTGGCACCTCCACCCCACTCCACTCCACCATGGGCCTGGATGGGTTGGCAATGCCAGCCTGGGCCAGTGGAACCTGCTGCTCCTTCTACAGGGTCCCCAGCACTGCCAGGCCAGGGGGAGGGCCTAAAGGGACTTCCCCCAACTTCTGTCCCCTGGAACAATCTGCATTCACCCCAGGGAAGAGACTTGTAAATGAAGCAGAGAGGGAGAGCCTTGGGAAAGAGGGGACCTGGCTCTGCAGGACCAAAGAGGTGCCCTTCTGTTTCTCTCCTCCACCTGAGGGGTGCACAGCCCTGCTTGGCAGGCTGGCCTGTTACACACTGATTCCAGGGTTCCCCCTTCTCTGACCCTGGAAACAGAGAAGGGAAAAAATCAATTTCCTTCATGCTGCAGAAAAGGGAAATTGAGTCATTAAAGGGAAGAAAAGGCTCTCTTCTGTTATCTGAGTAAAGAGAGAAAACATCTCCCCCTCACTGAGGACGGAAAGTCTACCTACCCACTCACCCACTCACGGGCAACGCCCAGGAGGGGCTGCTGGTCGGCGGGTGGGACCAGACTTTGAGGGCTACACTCCAAATATCCAGACTTTGAGGGCTACACTCCAAACATCCGCAGCCCTTTCCCTGACTCTCAGTTGCTTTTGTGTGAGGCAGGCTGGGCTGGTATTATCAGCTTTATTTTGCAGATGAGAATATGCAGGCCTGGAGCCACATTGCTGGTAAATGCCTTAAAGCTGGGACTTTGATGGCAAATACTGTGCCCTTGCTAAGGCACCATGATGGGAAACTGGCAGAGCCCCAACCAAGGGTTTTTTTTTAATGCAGAAAGAAGGGGCCAGCAGGTGGCGTGGTAGTTAAGGGTGCTGGAGTCTCTTTCTGTCTCTCTTTGGTCAAATTAAAAAATAATAATGGCAAATGGAATTAAATAATTCTTTTTAAAAAGTGCAGAAAGGAGGATGTGCAGCGTGTGCGAGTGTACACCACCACCCCCCAATGTGCACCCGTGCGCGCGGACACACACACACACACACACCAGGAGTGGGAGACCCTGCTCCATGGCCTGGGCCAGGAATCCAAGGCGGACATCCCTGAATCCTCAGAACTGGAGAGACAGGAGAAACTTGGGGGGCAGGACCATGAGCCCCCTTTACCCACGTGAACCCCCTATTTTCTACCCAGCATTTGCAGCTTTCCTCAGCCAATGCCTTTCCCTGGGCCTCTCCTGCCACTAAGTATCTTGTCATTGCCCTGCCTAGGCAGGGGACACCTTCATTCTTCCCTTCCAGGAAGGAACCCCTTCAAACAGGCCTCCACACAGCGCCCTGAAATGGTGTTTTCCTGCTCCCATGCCTTTGCCTGCATTACCCATTGTGGAAGGGCTCCCTTCGTCTTAGCAGCCAGATCCCACACTCAGAAATCCTTATCTTCAAAAGACCTGGGGGACCAGCAGTTAGCGTAATGGCTATGTCGCTGGACTCCCACGTAGTCGACCATGGTTCGCGTCCCGGACCCGGTGGCTTAAAACTCACACTGGGCGCGTGTGTGGGCGTTCCCAAGATCCCTAGATGAGAATGGAGGAGAAGGGATTGCGGCATGACCATCCCCCCTGGGGGTTGATTTCTCGCTTTCTGTCTCTCTGTCTCTCTCTGTCTGTCTGCCCGACAGCGAAAACCTCTCCAAAAAAAAAGAACGTTAAAAAAAGAAAAAAAGACCTGGAGTCCTTTCCTCCCTACAACCCTATCTTTTCCTCCAAGGGCTGCCTTGGTTTGTATTTAGCAGATCTAGTCAGCCCTCAGGTGATACCTCTACCTTTTACGTTCTGTCCTTGTCTCCTTGAGGGGAAGTCGCTTCCACCCAGAGCCCAGCTTCTGCCTCCGCTTTTTCCCACTATCGGGAACAATGGCCGGCTCCTGAAATCGCAGTAAAAAAACTCTGTAGTCGATACTTGGTTCACTTACTTTATAAATATCCATTCCGCTACTACTCACCCCTCTCCACCCCTGCGAGTCCAAGACGCCCCAGCTCCCCTTAACCCACCCCCTTCCCGCCGCAGTTCTGAACCGACAGCAGGCTGGAGAGGATTTTTCCACCGAGTTGCGGAAAATGGAACCCGTGCTCTCCCTCTGTCCTTCTTCTCCTTTGGGACCAGGGCTAGAGTCTAAGGCCTGGGGGGTGGTTTTGACTTCAAGAGAGCGACAGGAACCATGGGGGCCTTGTGTGTTTCCCTTTCCCTTTCCTAGAGGGCAGCAAGTCCTGGAGCAGCTGGGAGGCTGCCAGGAATCTGCAGAGATGCCCGCCACACTTTCGGTCCCGAGGCGAGGCGCAGAGCTCTGGGTTGCGGCGGCCGCGGCGTCTAGGCTCGGCTTGCTTGCAGCCTCCAGGAGCTGGCACGCGGGCGCGTGGTTGGGGTTGGAGACGTCTGAGACTGGAGAGCCCCCCCACCTCCCCGCTCCGAGCGAGTGTGTGCAGGAGGAACAATGTGCGAGTGCGTGATTCGCCGCGCTTCGAGTGGCAGTTCCCAGCCACACTGAGCGTGCCCCCCACCCGCACGCAGCCCAAGCGCTCCTTCCCCCACAGACTCCTCGTCCCCCTTTAGCCATCTCCCCTCCAACTTTCTCTTGGTCCCATTCTGCCCTCATAGGGTCCCAGTTCCTTTCACTCTGGCCCGCCGGGAACAGCTCTCGATCTTTCCCGACGAGCCCGAGATCCCGCCAGTTTCTAAGGAGCGGAGGGCACCGACTCGGAAGGGGGCGGAGGGCGGGGAGAGAAGACTGCGACTTTGGGATTGGCCCGGTCGGGTGCATGTGGCCCCCGGCGAGCAGCCCCCGCAACCGCCGCCGCATTCCCTGGGGAGCGCGGAGGAGGAGCCGCTCCCCGATTTCGTGGCCCACGAAGGGGTGGGGGTGGGGGTCCGGGGCGGGCT